TGGCCAAATTTGTTGAAACTTTGCAGAGATGTTTCTTGCATGAAGCTTTACCAAAGTTGTTCAAATGCCATGGCAACCAAAAGATTTTTTTACAGTCAAAATTGGCCCCACCCAAGGGGGTCATTGATTTTCCCTATATGCATATAGTAAAAAAATAAAAAATCTTCTTTTAAAGAACCCAAAGAGCTAGAGCTAAGATATTTAGCATGAAACATCTTTTAATTGGTGTCTACCAAGTTTGTTCAAATAAAAGCCCTGGGGTCAAAATTGGCCCCGCCCCAGGGGGTCATTGATTTTCCCTATATGCATATAGTAAAAACTTAAAAAATCTTGTAAAAAACCGAAAGACCTAGAGCTTAGATATTTGGCATGAAACATCTTCTAGTGAATGTTTACCAAGTCTGTTCAAATAAAAGCCCCAGGGTCAAAATTGGCCACACCCCAGGGGTCATTGATTTTCCTTATATGTATATAGTAAAAACTTTAAAAAAAACTTCTCGTGAAAATCTTAAAGGGATAGAGCTAAGATATTTGGCATGAAATATCTTATAATAGATGTCTACCAGGTTTGTTCAAATAAAATCCCAAGGGTCAAAATTGATTTTCCTTATATCTCCAAACAATCTCACTTTGAAACATCAGATTTAAACCAAAATGGTTATAAACTCAGTGTTGCAAACCGTAAAAATTTTGTTGGCGGCGGTATTGCTTTGACATGTAAAAGTACCATCAATATGCGGAAAAAGGATTCCGGCCCGACCCAAACTTTTGAGTACAGAATATGGCAATTGGTTTTCAAAAACATTACCATAAATTGTGTAGGAATTTATAGACCCCCATCATTAGCTACTCCTCTGCAATTTGTGAAAGACTTCTTTGAATTTATGGAGGACATTGTTTCAAAATATCAAATTCTCTTGACAATGGGGGATTTCAATCTTCATATACACGACGACACCTGTGCTATTTCAGAATTTAATAACTGTTTGTGTGCTATGGGATTAGAACAACATGTACATTTCCCCACACAAGTGTTCGGTCAAAGTCTCGATCTTGTGATCACAGAGGTCGCAAATGGTGTTGAGCTAGTCTCATGTGAACCTGGTTCATTTCTTTCAGACCATCATGCAGTGAAAGTTGTCACAAAAGTGAAAAAAGAGAACATTATCAGCAAATCCATCAAATACAGAAACTTTAAAGATATTGATCGCTCAGAATTTGCCAGTGATATTACAACTATAAAAATTGAAAGTGAATCAATTACTGAATATGTGGAACTTTTCGAATCCGAAATGAAAGCTATCGTCGATAAACATGCACCTGAAATTGAAAAAACAGTTATATGTTGAAATCCGAAGCCATGGTTTACTGAGAGTATAAAACACTCAAAGAGTATTCTGCGCAAATCTGAGCGCATGTGGAGAAAACACAAAAATCCAAATGATTTTGAATTCTTCAAAAATGCAAGGAATAAATACAATTATGAACTAAATCTTGAAAAGAAACGCAAACTTAGTCAGAAAGTGCTCGCATTCAAGGGAGATTCCAAGAAACTCTACAACTTCGTGACTGATCTCACCGGCGGAAAGTCCAAAAATCCAATGCCAACCGTCGAAAACGAAAACAGTTTAGCTGATAAATTTGCAGATTTTTTCATGAACAAAATTGAGACAATACGAGACAACCTTAAACATCATAAGAACTATGAACCATTGCCAAAAGATGTACCAAAATTCGAGGAATTTGGAACATTAAGTGAAAATGATGTGAAAAAATAATTAATTCCATGCAAACAAAATCATGCGAAATTGACGTTTTGCCAACGAAAGTGTTGAAGTCATTTGTGACTGAACTGCTTCCCATCATTACCACACTAGTGAATCTTTCGTTGTCGCAAGGTGACTTTCCACCAAATTGGAAACAGGCAATTATATAAGTTAGACCATTGTTGAAAAAACTTGGACTCGAACTCATTTTTTCTAACTACAGACCAGTGAGCAACCTACCATTTCTGTCAAAATTAATTGAAAAGGCAGCATTGTTCTATCTTAACAAACATGCAAATGAACACAATCTCCTTCCCAAGAACCAATCAGCGTACCGACAGCATCATTCGTGTGAATCAGCATTTACTTCGTCTTGTAAATGACATTCTTGCTGCCATGGAAAATCAAGAAGTAACTGCGTTAATAGCACTGGACTTAAGTGCAGCGTTCGATACCGTCCATCACGACATCCTCTCGACGTTCTCAATCGTCAGTATGGTATCTGTGGAGTTGCACTCGACTGGTTGGACTCGTACCTGCGACCCAGGAGTTGTCGCGTAAGTGTGAACAATATAATGTCGTCAGCGCGTGATCTTACGTGCAGTGTCCCCCAAGGAAGCTGTTTAGGGCCGTGGCTCTACCTCGCGTATGCAGGGACCATATTTGACATTGTTACCCCTACCATCTCCGTGTACGGCTTCGCCAACGATCATACTGCCAGCAAATGTTTCAAACCTACACCCGCTCTCGAGGCCGAATCCATTGCGGAACTAGAAGAGTTCGCAACACAAGCAAATGATTGGATGAACAGTAATAAATTAAAAATGAATTCTTCAAAAACTGAACACATAATTTTCGGAAGTGCTCCTCAGTTGCGTAAACTGTCTAAAGATGAAATTAACATCTGTGGTGATAAGATCAAACGACAAAATACGATCAGATATTTTAGGGGCATATTTGGACGAAAATCTGACTTTCAAACATCACATCAAGATACAGTGTCGAACAGCTATGTTGAGCTTTTTCGCATAAAAAAATATTCGCAAATTCCTCACACAAGATGCAACAGAAACTCTTGTACTCTCACTCGTTATTTCTCACTTAGACTATTGCAACGTGATTCTGTATGGTATTTCAAACTGTGATATTGCAAAACTACAGCGAATTCAAAACATGTGTGCCAAACTAGTATTGAATCGTAGGAAAAGTGACAGTTCTAAGCAGGCGCTATACGATCTACACTGGCTGCCCATCAAGGCCAGAATTCAATTCAAGATTCTTGTATATATGTACAACTGTCACGTTGGAAAATGCACCAACTTATTTGACCGACCTGCTTACACCTAAAGTTCAAAAAACGTTCTCTGAGATCATCATCATTTTCAGTTGACAGTTATGAAGTGCCTTTTAATAAGTGTAAAACTTTCAGTGACAGAAGTTTCAGTACAATCGGCCCGAAACTCTGGAATGATCTTCCATTAAAATATCAGACAATGCTCATCAGTTGATAGTTTCAAGAAACACTTGAAGACTCATTTCTTCAGAGACTATTTTAATCTTTTTTAGTCAAAGTCAGTAAAGTGTAGAAACTAAGAGACAATGTTTTTTCTGCGCATTAACTCTGTGATGAATATCTGATTTTACAATGTATTTATTATCCAAGTAACATTTGCATGTCTTTTACCATGTCCTTTAATAATATAGCCATATTTTTAATTATTTTAAATAACATTACTTTCTTTTATTTGTGATACCATGTTTTAGATTTAGATTTAGAATTAATTGTTTTATTATTCTTAAACTACATTTATTTATTACTTTTAATGTTCTGATGTGATATTGTACAACGCCATTGAATATGTATTATATGTAGAAATAGGCGTTCAAGCAAATAAAACAGTTTCAGTTTCAGTTTATATGTATATTAGTAAGAACCTAAAAAATCTTCTTGTGACAACCAAAAGCACTATAGATAAGATATTTAGCATGAAACATGTTTTAGTGTATGTGTACCAAGTTTGTTCAAACTAGTGCCCAAGGGTCAAAATTGGCTGCACCCCAGGGGTCATTGATATTCCTTATATGTATATAGTAAAAACTAAAAAAAATCTTCTTTTGACAATCCAAAAGAGCTAGAGATTAGATATTTGGCATAATAAAATCTTCTAGTGGATGTCTACCAAGATTGTCCTAAAAAAAGCTTTAGGCTCAAAATTGGCCCCGCCCCAGGGGTCTTAATTTTCCAAATATGTATATAGTAAAAACTTAAAAAATCTTCTGGTGATAATCCAAAAAAGGTAGAGCTTAGATATTTGGCATGAAACATCTTCTAGTGGATGTCTACCAAGTTTGTTCAAATGAAACTCCTAGGGTCAAAATTTGCCCAACCCCAGGGGCCATTGATTTTCCTTATATGCATATAGTAAAAACTTTTAAAAATCTTACTGTGACAATCCAAAACCGCTATAGATTTGGCATGAAACATCTTCTATTGGATGTCTACTAAGTTTGTTCAAATAAATGCCCTATAGGATCAAAATTGACCTGGCACCAGGGGTCATTGATTTTCTTTATAAAATATATACATGTAGTAAAAACTATAAAAAAAACTCTTTGTTCAAATAAAAGCCCTAGGGTCAAAATTGACCCCACCTCAGGGATCATTGATTTTCCTTATATATACATGTATTCTAAAGACCTAAAGCTTAGATATTTGGCACGAAATATGTTCTAGTGTATGTCTACCATGTTTGTTGAAATAAAACCCCTAGGGTCAAAATTGGCCCCCGCCCCAGGGGATTGAGCTTGACAGTTCAAACCCCAGCCAGGTCAAATGTTTGTTTTCCCTCTCTTTTTCTATCATCTTTTTATTAGCTTACCTCTCACTTAGTGACAGGCTGAACTATTTAATAAAATGGCTGCCAGAGTTAAAATTAGAAAACAAAAACATCCAAACAATATCTTAACCACTGGTTCAGTTTTGAAATAATTTTACACAAAAATTTTCTTGGTGACAGTGTACAAATTTTTTTCAGATTTAGCTGTCCCTTGTTTTCTAATTGTGCCTCTGGGGTGAAAGGGGGCTACACTTTGACTGGTTCTCAGGTGAGCAATCTAGGGCCCTCTGGGCCCTCTTGTTATAAATTTTCTCCTTTCAGCAGGGTATTTTGCAACCTCCCACTGCTTCTTGTTTGTTTATTTTTTTATATTTGTTTATTTATTTATATATTTCAGGTATAGCATGTGATAGGTGTATTCAAAACATGACTGCTGGTTCAGCATTGCTTCATCATTGGCTTCATAGACTACTTGTGCACACATTAACAGTTCCATCACCTGTCAAGAAAGTACAGAAAGTGTCCCATATATGTTTAGTACAGGAATAATGTTTCACATTGTTGTATTACAGTATACTAATTATTGTTAATGTTAAAGTATAACATTTGTACATTGTAATACCCCATAAACTTAGTTTGAAGGGGGTGAAATGGAGTCAGTCTGTCCCTTGGCAAATCTGTCCCCACTTGTGAAATCTTGGCAAGACAACTCCTACATTATATGATTAATTTCTTCTAAACTTACATTATTTGTTTCTCGCATGCGTATGTGTGTTGCCTCCAGACTTATGATTTTACTGACATATGTGTCCTTATCAAGTCCTTATCATTTAATGATATACCTGGGACATGATATTATTCCCTGAATATACAGAATGAATACAAAATAGGACTGCTCATAGAAGTGTTCATAATTATCAAGAAAATTAAATAAACAATAAAAAAATGGAAAAAAAAATGAAAAGAAATATAATTATGCTTGAACAATCTATACACATATGTAAAACACTGTGTGAAATATATTTTGGCTGGAAGTACAGGCCTGTGTGCTAGCCACTTGATTTCCATGAAATGAAGGCAAATTTACGAATATAAATTTTTACTGTTCTTTATAATCTTTATAATATTGTTGAATTATTTTATTTAACAAGTTTCATTTAATATTTGTAAAAGTTAGCTGTTTTACAGTGATTGACCATCTTGTTCCCCTGTGATTAACCACAGAGAAATTACTTAAGCTGTAGTTTGATGTCCTCTGTGGTAAAAGTTTTCTTTTGCAAGGTCTATTAACTAATATTTGAGAAAAATTTGTTTGCAATGAGTGTCATCCATGTGGCCCTGTAAAAATCCCTACTGATCATACTGTTTACCAAAGTGGCATGGGAGGAACGTTCCCAGACTTGAGGCAGTTCCAGTTTGGCACAACTTTATAGAAACCTATTTAGATATTCTTTTAAAAAGCTACTTAAATAGAGCTTTTATTATTATATTATGCCCCACCTCCCCCCTCCCCCCTCCTTCTCATCCATTCCCTATAAAGAAGAAGGGTATATTGCTTTGCATTTGTAGGTTGGTCGGTCCATTGACCAAATGGTGTCCGTCAATAACTAAAGAACACTTAGGCCTAGGAACTTCAAACTTGGCATGGGGATCAAAAAGACCAGAAGATGACCAGAAGATTGTTTTATGGGTCTTTAGGTCAAAGGTAAAGGTAAAATTCACCTTGAATGTTAAAATGGTATCCAAATAATAACTCAACAACTCATGGGACCTTGACCTTCGAACTTCACAGGTTCATTGGTCTATGCCAGTAGATAACCCCTATTGCTTTTTAGGGACAAAGGTCAAAGTCACATTGACCTTGTAAGTGAAAATGGTTTCTTACCAATAACTCAAAAACTCAAGTTGCCTTGGTTGATATTTTTTATTAAACTAAAAATGCTTCTGGTATACACATTTCAAGGTTAAATGTAATATAACATATTGGCTGTCAAGGAGGCCTACATGATTCATAACATTTAGGTAAGATTTGTGATTGCTGCTTACAACCTTAACGGTCACAATGACCCAGTGACTATTTAAGTAAAGAGCAGTCAAAAATTTATTCAGTTTTGAAATGCAAATTGTGTCATTAGAAAATCTTTAAAGACAATTTATAATTTTATAAGTTTTATAAACCTTTTGAGTGTTACATAATTGTATTCTGTATATAGCTTTATGTGCATCTGAAATGGCCTAGTCTATTTATATGTTTCATTTTTTGTGCAAACATTTTATATATTAATGTAGTGTAATCTGTACATTTTTTATGTATTTTATACAAGATTTTAATTCATCGTCACACACATAAATATGTATTATATATATAATGTTGTAGACTTGAACACAAATATGTCTTTTTTTTTAGCTCACCTGTCACAAAGTGACAAGGTGAGCTTTTGTGGTCGCTTTTCGTCCGGCGTCCGTAAACTTTTACTTTAAATGACATCTCCTCATAAACCACTAAGCCAATTTCATCCAAACTTCACAGGAATGTTCCTTTGGTGGTCACCTTTGAAAATTGTTCAAAGAATTTAATACCATGCAGAACTCTGGTTGATGGCAACCAAAAGAAAAAACTTTAAATATCTTCTTCCAAAAAACCCAAAGAGCTAGAGCTTAGATATTTGACATAAAACATCTTCTAGTGAGTGTCTACCAAGTTTGTTCAAATAAAAGCCCTGGGGTCAAAATTGGCCACACCCAAGGGGGTCATTGATTTTCCCTATATGCATATAGTAAAAAAATAAAAAATCTTCTTTTAAAGAACCCAAAGAGGTAGAGCTAAGATATTTAGCATGAAACATCTTTTAATTGGTGTCTACCAAGCTTGTTCAAATAAAAGCCTTGGGGTCAAAATTGGCCCCGCCCCAGGGGGTCATTGATTTTCCCTATATGCATATAGTAAAAAATCTTCTTTTATAGAACCCAAAGAGCTAGAGCTAAGATATTTAGCATAAAACATGTCCTAATAGATGTCTACCAAGTTTGTTCAAATAAGAGCCCTTTGGTCAAAATTGTCCCGCCCCGGGGGTCATTGATTTTCCTAATATGTGTATATAGCAAAAACTTTAAAAATCTTCTTTGAAAAAAAACAAATAGCTAGAGTTTAGATACTAAGCATGAAACATCTTCTAGTGAGTGTCTACAAAGTTTGTTCAAATAAAAGCCCTGGGGTCAAAACTGGCCCTGCCCCAGGTGTGTCATTGTTTTTAACTATATGTGTAAAGAAAATACTTAAAAAAATCTTCTTTTAAAAAACCCAACGAGCTAAACCTTAGATGTTTAGCATGAAACATCTTTTAATGGGTGTCTACCAAGTTTGTTCAAATAAAAGCCCTGGGGTTTAAACTGGCCCCGCTCAGGGGGCCCATATACAGGTGAGCGACTTCAGGGCTATCATGGCCCTCTTGTTGAAACTTGTAATATTTTCATTTAAAAGGGCACTTAAACAAACTACATTTTTTCACTAACAGATATGATAATATGATATAATTAGATATATTATGCCATTACTAGAATAGATTATGCTCAATGTTTTCTACAAACAAAGTTCTTCTTTTGTTTTTATACACCAAGGATTGTTTAGGAGGTATTGTGGTATGGCATTGTCTGTTCATCTGTTAGCACTCACATATGACATGATGTGACATTTATATAGGATTAAATGTCTGTTCATTCTGTACAGACTGTACTTTTTGGTATGGGTAAAAATATGTTTTTATTAAATATTAATTAAAGGAATAGCCCCTAAACATCAACTAAGGAAGAAGTATGTCTGTCCTTCAAATGTTAACCTGCACAAGGTAATGTAAAGACCCATTGCTTATGGTCATAATTGTCATAAAATTTTGTGTCCTCTCAATAAATATACCCATGGATGAAAATGTTCTTCAAACACTCAAATGTTCACCTCGGCAAGGTGATGTGCAGAATTTATATGCTGTAAGTTTGCTTCTTAAAGGTTGAGGTCACACTTGAAGGTCAAATTTCAGACAATTTTATGTCTGCACTTTTAGATCTCTTCAGCTTTGAAAGACTTCTTTCAAACTTAGCTCATATGTTCAACTTAAAACATAATGTTAAATGGACCAAATAACATCTTGTGTCATATTAAGATAGTATGGTTATTGGTCATTTCTCCGACAGCTCTATTTAATTTGAAACTTAACAATAAATTGATAGTATATGTTCAAGGCCTTTTTTTAACTTCGAAAAATCTTGTTTTTTAGCTCATCTTTTTTGTATTAAAGAAACTATTGCTACAGTCATGTTGTTCTTAGACATTGAAGTTGTTGTTGCTGTTTCCATCCGAAAACTTAAATGTTGGTCATCATTTTTTTATGCCTCGCTGATTGAATCTGGATTGTATTTATTTGGTGTTGTCCATCCGTCCCTCCTAATCCATCCATCTGTCTGTTCGAATTTCCGGGCTAGTTCTCTGCAACTACTGGCAGGAATTCAACAAAACTTTATGGGAATGACCAACACCAAGATGAGATGCGCATATTGTCGCCTTGTTCCGGTCCGACCCTGTAACACAAAGAGTTATGGCCCTTGATTAGGTTTGCAGTATGCATACAGAGCAATAATCGTTTTTGTGCTATTTCTCTGCAAGTACTGGCAGGAATTCTCTGAAACTTTATGGGGACCATCAATACTAAAAGGACATGTACATATTGTTGCGTTGCTCCAGTCAGATCCTTCATCACAGAGTTATTGCAACTACTGGCTTGAATTCAAGGAAACTTTATGGGAACAATCAATACCAAGAGGAGATTTTATTTGTACACTATCCCCAACAGCACAAATAAATCGATACTTTTGCTTTTGAATTTTTCTGATGTGACCTTGATCATCAAACAACCTTCAGGACAAAGCCTTCTAAAAAGTTGAACTGACTTTGACCTTGAGCTTTAAATGTCCTTGACCGTCAAGGTCAAAGTATTGAATTTTGAGTTGACATAGTTTGGTTTTTAGCTCGACTTTTCGCAGAATAATCGAGCTAATGCAGTCACCCATTTGTCGGCATCCCTGTGGTTAAGTTTTTGCGTATAAGCTGGTATCTCCATAACTACTGAAGGGAATGGATTGAAACTTCACACACTTGTTCTCTGTGATTATATTACATGATTGGCACAAGTCCCATAACTCTGATTTGCTTTTTTGCATAATTATGCCCCTTTTTCGACTTAGAAATTCTTGGTTAAGTTTTTGCGTGCAAGCTGGTATCTCAATAACTACTGAAGGGAATAGATTTAAACTTCACACACTATTGTTCTCTGTGATTATCTAACATGATTGGCACAAGTCCATAACTCTGATTTGCTTTTTTGCATATCATCATAACTATTGAAGGGAATGGATTGAAACTTCACACACTTGTTCTCTGCGATTATCTTACATGATTGGCACAAGTCCCATTACTCTGATTTATTTTTTGCATAATTATGCCCACAACAACTTTCGATTGAAACTTCACACACTTGTTCTCTGTGATTATGTATCATGATTGGTATAAGTCCCATAACTCTGATTTGTTTTTTTTCATAATTATGCACCTTTTTCGGCTTAGAAATTCTAGGTAAAGTTTTTGCTTTTTTTTTTTTTTTGGTATCTCCATAACTACTGAAGGGTTTGTGCCTTTTTTTGAACAATTTTATGCATTCATAATAATAATTAAGCAGTGATTAACTCGATAAAACATCTTAATAACAAGCCTTTGTACCTTTTCTGACAATTTTATGTATTCATATTGGTAAGCATTATTATACTCAATGAAACACACTTGTGACAACTTTTCGAATAGTCAAGCGTAACTGTCCTCCGACAGTTCTTGTTTATGTACGGATTTGATTCATATGCGGACAAAACAGCACTTGTGACCAAACAGATATGTGGAAAAATTTACATAATTTTATATCTTGACCTTTATATTGACCTTGTCGATCAAATGATTGAATTTTGCTTATAATATATTTTCTTAAGTTTGTCATTTATGTATGGAAATGATTCTTTTTTTTATAAAACAACAAGTGTGACAGGACAGACCTGTAAAATTTAATTTTCTTTTAAACCGTTTATTTGTTTGCTTTTAGAAAAAGTAAAAAAATGAGCGTTGCCCCTGCCTGGCGGTGGCTCTTGTTTATTCAAATTGGCTTCAGAAAACTATTTTTTCTTTTACTTAGTTATTTTCCTGTTGTTTTTTTTACCAAAATAATGGTAAGCAAATGATAATAATTTTTTAGCATGGCAATTTATTGAAATTACTATTAGTTCACAGATGAAACATCATAAAATGTAGGTCCAGTTCAAATTTGGCTTCAGACAACTTAATTTTGAAATAGGTTGGGGATATGAATCTCCTTCAGTGATAGTTCTAGTTACTGTTATTGTTTTTACATGTAAGCACATTTTATCATCTTATTATAACGATTTTTTTTGTGCTTATAAAGTTACAATTGCTTGCATAACCTGCAGTTATGTAGATGACAAACTTTATAGATGATTTAACAAAACTACTTTATTTAAATATAAAACTTAGCAAATCATTAGTAATTAACTCAAAACAACAATGTTGGTTTACAATGTTTAAAGTTGATTTAAGGTATGACCACCCTAATGGGTGCTATATATAAGAAACTGAAAAATTGACAACATAAGTCAGATTATATGCCTTAAACAACAACTGCATGCAAAATTTACATGGACACTTTTCTAAACTTAACCTTGGATATTAGACAGACTCTATTTCAGAAATGACAAATCTTTAAATAATCTTTAATATCATCCTTATGGAAAATGTTTTCCCATTAATTATTGTTAAGAAACAAATAACATTCAGCTAACAATCCACACAAGCAAAAGGATTGTATATACTCAACATTTATGAAATATGTATAAAAAAAAATATTTCCCAACCCCCACCTTTAACACTTGTTTTTACTTTTTTCCGACTTAGAGAATCTTATTTAAAAAAAGCTCCTAAAGTTAACTAAAATGAGGGTCTGTTTTCAAAGTTTCCCTACATTTTCTCAACTGTATATTGGTTGATCTTGTCAAATATTAAATACTCTTACCATGTAGTTTTGATTTTATTATACAAGGTACTTTGAAAATATCAGGTATCATATTTATTATTAGATTTAGCATTTATTTAGCAAATAGATACCTATAATAATTATGTTATTAAAATTAAGTACTTTTTTCCAAATGGGATTTGAATGATACATAGATAATGTTTGAAAAAAGCTTACCCTTCTTGAGTTTTAAACTAGGACCCTAATTAACAGTAATTCTAGCCAATTTGAATACTCTTAAAAGTGGAGGCAATGCATTAGGGTGGTCATACCTTAATGGTTCATTCAGATTTGATTTGTATATATTTTATAAGTTTGTTTTTTTATGTGCTTTAGACATTAGTGTTACTTGTATAGGTGATATGTCTGCTTAAATTTGCTAGGTTTAGTTTATGTATGGTATATCAAATATACCTTACAGTAGAATAGTTTAATATAAAATGTTACTTTCATTGCACAAAGATAGATAGATACATACATGTAAATATTGGATATGTGTACAGACTTCGTTACAGTTTTTATATAAAGACATTAGGCTTAATGAAAACTGTTGAATGGAATTTATTTAATTTTTGCATGATCTTAGAAGAAAGTTTAAAGAGAAAAAAAATGAGATTTCCAATCTCTTCTTTTAGTTATGTATCCTTTGATGTTTTTGCCTATATAAGTTGACTTTTTTTAGCAAAATTGGCATATGTTTAAAATTAAACATACCACTCTGTATACAGTGTCAAATGTAATTGCTTCTGTAATGGTGTAAAACTGTTAATTTAGTCTTCAATAAAGCATGTTTAAGCATAAGAGACGTATCGCTTTTCACTCCAATTTCCAGATAATGTATGCCAGCTGCAATATGCCACCTGAGACATTTGGCTGCTTAGTTTCAGTAATAGTTCTAGCTAACACTGGATGTTTAAAATTTCGAGAAAAATTGGTTGGTCGTATTATGGACCCACACCTGGGTTTTTGTACATAGCATATTGTTTGCATGCATGGAAAAATTTTAGTATTAATCATACCACCGCACAACAAAGTTGTAAGGGGGGTATACTGGAATCAGCTTGTCCGGCCGTCGGGTGTCCGTTGGTTTTTTCTTGTCCGCCCAATAAATTAAGATTCCTTTGACCCACAGTCTCCATATTTGGCATGGAGGTTAGTCATGATAAGTAGATGACCCCTATTGATTTTGAGGTCACCATGTCAAAGGTCAAGGTCACAGGGGCCTTGACTTAAAAAAGCTTGTCCGCCCAATAACTTAGAATTCCTTTGACCCACAGTCTTCATATTTGACATGGAGGTTAGTCATGATTAGTAGATGACACCTATTGATTTTGAGGTCACCAGGTCAAAGGTCACAGGGGCCTTGACTTCAAAAAGCTTGTCTGCCCAATAACTTAAGATTCCTTTGACCCACAGTCTTCATATTTTGCATGGAGGTTAGTCATGTTTAGTAGATGACCCTTTTTGATTTTGAGGTCACCAGGTCAAAGGTCAAGGTCACAGGGGCCTTGACTTCAAAAAGCTTGTCCGCCCAATAACTTAAGATTCCTTTGACCCACAGTCTTCATATATGGTAGGGAGGTTAGTCATGATGAGTAGATGACCCCTATTGATTTTGAGGTCACCAGGTCAAAGGTCAAGGTCACAGGGGCCTTGACTTCAAAAAGCTTGTCCGCCCAATAACTTAAGATTCCTTTGACCCACAGTCTTCATATTTGGCATAGAGGTGAGTCATGATGAGTAGATGACCCCTATTGATTTTGAGGTCACCTGGTCAAAGGTCAAGGTCACGGGGGCCTTGATTTCAAAAAGCTTGTCCGCCCAATAACTTAAGATTCCTTTGACCCACAGTCTTCATATTTGGCATGGAGGTGAGTCATGATTAGTAGATGACCCCTATTGATTTTGAGGTCATTGGGTCAAAGGTCAAGGTCACAGGGGCCTTGACTATAAAAAGCTTGTCCGCCCAATAACTTAAGATTCCTTTGACCCACAGTCTTCATATTTGGCATGGAGGTGAGTCATGATTAGTAGATGACCCCTATTGATTGAATGTGATCCCTTTTGATGTTGAAGTCACTGGGTCAAAGGTCAAGGTCACAGGGACCTTGACTAAAAAAAAGCTTTTGCCCTCAATTGCTTAATAATGCCTGTTCGCAGTGTATTGATTTTGACATTTTCATATTGAAGCATGTTGAATACATAACTTAGCAATGCACTGGCTTAGTAACCTTAGATTTGGCAGGGAGGTTGTCCTTGAGCTCTAAATGGCCACTGTTGATTCTGACAAAGTGGTATGCGAGGGTATTCACGCCATGACAGTGGAATTTCTAGTTCATACAAGTGTTCACCATCATGAGGCATAGTGTTGTGCACATTAACTAGGTCTTTTGGTCAAAAATCAATGTCACAGCTTAAGGTCAGATGAAAATACTTAATACTTCAATTAGGAAATGCACCCATTTGACACGTGATAAAATCTGCACAAGAGTCAATTTGCCTCCTGGGAATTTTCACTTTTGCATTTATAATTACCTTCAGTCCACTCCTGCTTACCTATCATATCCTACATATGTTTAAATCACACTCAATAAAAAATGTTTTTGTTTTTATGCCACCGCAACATTGCGATGCGGTGGCATATAGCGATTCACCTGTGTGTTTGTATGTGTGTTATAAAGATTATATAGTGAACTTAAAAAATCTTCTTGTGAAAAACCACTAGTCCAATTTCAACCAAACTTGGCAGAATTGAACCTTAGGTGAAGGGCTTCCAAAGTTGTTCCATGCAGAAATTTGGTTGCCATGGCAACCAAAAGGAATTATAAGAATAAATTTAAAAAATCTTCTTGTAAAGGCCCACAAGGCCTAGAGCATAGGTATTTTGCATACGGTATTGTCTGGTAGGGTTCTACCAAGATTGTTTAAATTATAGCCCTGGGGTCAAAATTGGCCCCACCCCTGGGGTCATTGATTTTCACTATATGTACATATAGTAAAAATTAAAATACCTTCTTGTCTGAAGGTAAAAGGCTTATAGCTTTGATATTTGATATATGATATCATCTATAGGTACTCTACCAAAAATGTTCAAATTTTGCCTCTAGCGTGAAAATTAGCCCCGCACCAGGGTCATGGGTTTTCCTTTAATATATATAGTAAAATCTTTAAAAAAAATCATCTTCTCTAAATTGACAAAGGCTAGAGGTTAGATATTTTGCATGATACATTGTGTAGTGAACCTCTACCAAGATTGTTCAAATTATAGCCCTGGGGTCAAAATTGGCCCTGCCCCAGGGGTCATTGATTTTTGGTCACTATGTACATATTATAGTAAAAAAATAAAAAACTTATTGTCTGAAGGTACAAGGCTTAGAGCTTTGATCTCTACCAAAGTTCTTCAAATTTTGCCTCTAGTGTCAAAATTATCCCCACCCCGGGGCCATAGGTTTTCCTTATATGTATATAGTAAAATCTTTAAAAAAATCATCTTCTCGAAATTGACAAAGGCTAGAGGTTAGACATTTTGCATGAAACATTGTGAAGTGACCCTCTAAGCAAGATCGTTCAAATTATAGCCCTGGGGTCAAAATTGGTCTCACCCCGGGGGTCATTGATTTTCAGTCACTATGTTCATATAGTAAAAAATTAAAAAATCTTATTGTCTGAAGTAACAAGGCTTACAGCTTTGATATTTAGTATATGATATCATCTATAGGTACTCTACCAAAGTTGTTCAAATTTTGCCCCTGGTGTCAAAATTGGCCCTGCCCGGGGGCATTGATTTTCATTATGTAAACATAGTAAAAACAGAAACTAAAACAAATGTTTTCTGAATTGGAGAAAGCTACAGCTTAGATATTTGACATGAATAAATGTTGTTTGGTGGACCTGTATCAAGATTGTTTGAATTAAATCCTTGGGTCAAAATTTTGCCTTGCCCTTGAAGAGGACAGTGACCTTCTTTTCTGTCCTTTGATGTACGCCATGAAATTTGGACTATGTGCACAGTTTTAGTTGTAAAATTGATATCTGAGGTGACCTAGATTTTGATGATGTGACATACATGTACTTTCTTGTCCTTTGATGTGCAGCTATGCAATTTGAACCATGTGCACAGATTAAGATGTAAAGTGAACTTTGATATCAGCTGGCCTAGATTTTGACAAAGTGTCTTACTGTGTTGTCTTTGATGTACAGTCATGGAATTTTGGCCATGTGAAATATGACTTTCACCACCAAATTCACTAGACTCAACTGCATTGATTCCTACTCTGATCTTTTATTTGAATAACAATAGATTTAACCACTAATCTGATAATAAGAATTAGATTGGCCAGTGATCTATGCTCAATTGTATAGAAACAAAAAAATTCTGTTCCTACATTACTGTTTAGTGTCGTACATGTTATAATGCGGTGACATAGCATTTTTCACAATTGCAATCTTGTTTAATACAGAGATCATCAAGTGAAGCACCTAAAATGGAAAAAATCTGATCATGCTGATGAAGAAATATACACAAAAATTATTGTAAAACGCTACTTAGCCTGACTTGAGTGAAAGGTCTTGCAATGCTTTTCATTTTTGGGTTATTTTACACAATAAAAATCATCAAATCAAGCAAAACGAAGGAATGATTTGAAAATGTTTTGAAAGTTATTGGTTTAGATCTTTATCGAATGGTACACAATCTCGGAATAATTTTTCCAGTCCATTCATGTCAAAAAACCTCTGTGGAGTCCCTTTAATATGTCTTCTCCTTATATATTATGTAACCTCTCTTTGTTTCCTTATATTTTAGCTCACCTGTCACAAAGTGACATGGTGAGCTTTTGTGATCGCTTTTCGTCTGGCGTCCGTCCGGCTGCCGTCAGACATCTCATAAACCGCTGAGCCAATTTCATCCAAACTTCACAGGAATGTTCCTTTGGTAGTCAACTTAAAAATTGTTCAAAGAATTTAATTCCAATGCAAAACGAAAGAAAAAAACTTAAAAAGTAGTCAGTGTCTACCAAATTTGTTCTAATAAAAGCCGTGGGGTCAAAATTGGCCCTTCCCATGGGGGAGTGCCATTGATTTTCCTTAGTTGTATATAGTAAAAACTTTAAAAATCTTCATTTAAAAAACCCAAGTAGCTAGAGCTTAGATATTAATCGTGAAACATCTATTAATGGGTGTCTACCAAGTTTGTTAAAATAAGTGCTCTGTGGTTAAAATTGGCCCCGCCCCAAGGATCATTGATTTTCCATATAATTATGTGTATAGTAAAAACTTAAAAAATCTTCTTTTAAAAACCCCAAAGATATTTATCATGAAACATCTTCTAATGGGTGTCTACCAAGTTTGTTCAAATAAAAGCCCTTGGGTTAAAATTGGTCTCACCCTGGAGGCCTATATTCAGGTGAGCAATTTCAGGGCCATCATGACCCTCTTGTTTATCAAACAATATTTTTAGAATTTTAGCTCACCTGAGCTTGCTCAGGGTAAGCATTTAGGATCATTGAATGTCTCTTGTTGGTCGTCCGTCCACGTTTGTTCGTTAACACTCTAGCGGTCACATATTTGACTCAATCATCATAAATCGTTGTCAGGATATTGCTCGAATGAGTTCGAACATGGGTCATCTCGGATGAAAAACTATGTCACAGGAGCTAAAAATAGAAAAATCTTGTTAACACTAGTGGCTACTGGTTTGATCCAAATATCCTGGAAATTCGTCTGAAAGTTTGTTTTGGTGACTTCTAGGTCAAGTATAAATTAATAAGGGTCTAGGTCAAGAACGAATATGAGTCACCTGG